CAAACGCGGGGGAAGGGGCGATGGCAGGGGTGAAGGCATGCGATGTCATGGGGGAGGGGGATGACGACGACGCATTGGTGAATAGGCTGCGCCAGCGGAATACGCGGGAAGGAATGGAGGCGGCGGCGAAGCTGTGGGTGGATGACCTCAGCTTCTGGAACGAGAGGGAGGGATTTGCCATCGTCAAGTTGATCGCGGAGGCGCGTGGTTATCTTGTGGCTGTGGCGAGGGGAGAGCAGCCTCCGCCCATTCGTCGCAGCATCGTCTTGCCTCACAACAGCATCCCGCAGCACAAGATCGCGGACGAGTCGGAGTTAAACGCTGCGAAGGAGAGGGCGCTGAAGGTTCAGCGGATCGCTTTGTGGGTGATACACGGGTGGGTCTTCAAGTCTCAAAACAGGCAAAGGGGGTACCATGCGGCGTACCAGTACGCACTCAACCACGCGGCCACCGACATCGCTCGCGCGATGTGGATGGGGGAGGACTGGCGTTATGGGTCCACCAAAGGTTCTTCGTAGACGACGGGTGGCGCAGGCGGTTTCGGCAAGAGGAAGAGCACAAGGCAGCAAACATTTGAGGCAATGACGGAGTGCATGGAGAAGCACGGGGCGTTAATGGCGTCAACGATGGAGAGCAACAGCAAACGTCATTGCCCCATCGCCATACGTCAGTGCGAGGCGCTGGAAGCGGAGATTACGCAGCGTCAGACGAAGTCAGCAAGCTTATGTGTCACGCCTTGCTGGAGATAGCGAAGGCCATCAACAAACGTTAGACTTAGTGTCGCCTTTGTTGTGCTCTCTGTTCGCTTGCATGGAATTGGACGGAGCGAAAGTGATAGTCTTTCCGTCGTCGATGTAGCTTAGCTTAGCCATCGCCGTCGTCGTCGATGTGTCGTTCCCCCAATGGCGGTGCTGGCCAAGGAATTGGGTACTGGTCAGATTCGGTGGATGAGTCCTTCAGTGAAATTTGATTTCGTTTTTAAAATTGTTTTTTTTTTTTCATTGTTCGTTTCGTTTGTTGTTGGCCTCGATCGTGTGACGGGACGGATGATACCGTCAACTCTGAATTGTAATTGGCATCGATGAAGCGCAGTATGCACTTTCCTTTTTTACCTGACGACATCGATTTCGTTCTCTCGCTCTCTCATTTCTTTGTGTCTTTGTCGTAAATGAAATGCAGAGGTGTAATAAAGGTGCTGTCTTTAATGCCGTTGTTTTTCGGATTTTTTGTGTTCAATCGAAATCGGCTCCCTCTTTCTCTCTAGCGTGTGTTTCGGTGTATTCTCCTTAAATGAGATGCAATGGTGCCATGAAGGTGTTGTCTGTGCTGCCGTCCTTTTTTGGGTATGCATTTGCTAATGTTGTGCATACACCCAATTAGTTGTCGATTGAGTACAGGCGTACTTGGGTTCGATCAAACGTCCCCCCCTATAGTGCATGTCGAGTCATGACAGCTGTACGAAATGCACGTTGTGTTGTGTGTTTTGTGTTGGTCTATTTACCTGTTTTCATTATCTCGTAGATAGTCGGGCGGGGTGCTTTATTTCGGAGTTCGGGAGGGGGAATATTGAACCCGTCCAGGCGAATATGCATGCCATATTCGGGGGTCAGGGTAGGGGGCAGGGGGGGGGGGGGGGGAATTGTGTCCCCTACTACATTCCTCATCCCGCTGAGACGGAGAGAGCGAGAGAGCAAGTACACTTCGTCAATATGCACAGAGTATAACACACTCTTAACTGTCATTAACTGATGTTAACAATGCGGTTATTAACTGGGATTAGTTGTGATCAACTGTGATTAACTGTGCAAAACACAAAAGAAAAAGTTGTGGTTAACTGTGTGGTTAATTCAACTTAACTGCGGTTACTGTGGTGGTTAACTGTGGTTAACTGGGTTAACTGGGTTAACTGATACAACACACTGTTACAGTAACTGTCATTTACTGATGGTAACAGTGAGTAACTGTGGTTAACTGGGTTTAGTTGTGATAAACTGTGGTTAACTGGGTTTAGTTGTGATAAACTGTGATTACCTGTGGTTAACTGTGAGAAAAAGAAGTGGTTAATTGTGGTTAACTGTGGGTAACTGTGCGTAACTGTGGGTAACTGTGGGTGACTGTGGGTAACTGTGGGTAACTGTGGGTAACAGTGGGTAACTGTGGGTAACTGTGGGTAACTGTAGGTAACTGTGGGTACCTGTCATTTCCGTCTGCTGAGTGTCATTAACTGCCGTCAACCATAACGAACATAGTTTTATGTGAGCTGCAAAAGAACGACGCCAGCTGCATACGTACAAAGACTACATTTGGTTGTGTGACGACATAAAGGCGAATCGGGCAAAAGAGAGGGGGGCTGTAACACGCTGTTCCTCCGGGCGCAAACAAGAACTGGAATAAAACAACAACAACCAAAAAAAAAAGAACTGGACGTGTGTTCAGTACCGCTGTAGTGGCAAACTGACATCAGCAAACAGAATCAACAGTCCATTCAAACTGAGGATGAATCTTAGTTGAGATGCTCAGCAAGGTTCGTTCGTTTTCCAGCGGCGGTCAACGGAACTCGATCCCTGAATCTGCCAGTAGGATGGTAGTGAAGTGCGCGAACCTACTACGGTAGGCTTCCTCTTGGCAGGACCTTGGCTGATGTTGTTGGCTGCTATGCAGCGACAATATTGGCCATTAGACACCGCCATGTGGGGTTGGGGGGGGCTGGGGGAAGGTGCAGTGACTGACCATTGCTCGGCGCTAGCACCGCCGATTTCCCCCATCGGCAATGCCTGCCCACCCCTCGTCACCGCGATGAGGGTACCAGTACCGCCTTGCTCTCGCACCACAGCTGTGGTGCAAACCTACCCTGTGGGCTGGGGAGAGATCCGGGTTGGTTGGTGTTCCCCCGTACTACAAATAGACTAGTGAGAGGGTGAGATAGATGCGTACTACCAAGAAAGATGAATTAGATTGAGAGAAGAATATAGATTACCTTTCAAAAAAAGGTGTAAAAAAAAAAAAAAAAAAAAAACCGTGCCCAAGCAGCGGATGAGGCAATCTGGGAGGAGGGAAGAGAGGTGGTGATGTGAGCTGACTGGCCATCTAGATGAAGTCCCAACTGGTCAGAGAAGGGTTACAGAGGGGAGCTAGGTGTCCTGGCTATCGCCTTCATAGCTGCACCAATAGGCAGACAGCTGGCTATAGATAGCAGCTGCATAGGCACTCCATAGCCTGGCTATGGGGAGTCGAGAGAAAACTGGGTATAGAATCTATAGATGGCTGCTCCATAGCCATTTCATAGGCTGGCTGGGGCTATGGAGTCCATAGACAATTCTGGCCATAGACACCCGCTCCATAGCCACTCCATAGACTGAGGCTGTTGAGTCCATAGACTGAGGCTGCGGCATCCATAGACTGAGGCTGCGGAGTCCATAGACTGAGGCTGCGGAGTCCAGATTTTCGACAGCGCCAATTCCGATCAAACTGCCACAGCATGCTATTCGCCTCTGCTCATGCCGTGGCCTTTTCCCACTCGGGAGACCCAACCCGCGGTTTTGCGTTTTGCGGTGGGTTAACCGGCACATCAAATCAAGATAGCTGGCTGGGACCCAAGCTGGGGGCTTTAAACCGCGATTACATCGAGCCAGACAACTTGAGGATCGAAAACGAGTCGTTCCGGAAAGTTTGGACTGCGGAGGCTTCAGGCCACCAGGCGACGACAGCCAAAGAAAAAAGAAAGTGCACCCCTGGCGGTCTGGCGCCGGCCGGTTGGCGGGCAAGTGCGAATCTGGCATGGCGAAAAGAGGCTCGGATGTACTGGGCCTTCAAGGCAGGGGCATCTGGAGGATCATACCCTCTCTTTTCCCAATCATGTGGGTTTTTAGCCGCACCCCAATTCCTGCAGAGTCGGCACAACGTGCTATTTGCCTGGCAATGCCCCCCCTCTCCGCTTGGTAGGTAGGCCTGAATTCGGGTGCACCAGTCAACCCACTGCAAAATTTTGCCAGGGGGTTAACTGCATTCCGCTTCGTAGGCCTGAATCGGGGTGCGCCAGTTAACCCACTGCAAAATTTTGCCAGGGGGTTAACTGGCGCTTCGAAGCAAAATTGCTGGCAAACAAACTGGCAGCTTAAACCACCAGTACTTGGCCCAGCTATCGGCCGCGGAAAAGAATAGAGTAGAAACGTTTCTACTCGGATGAATTTGGGCGCTCCTGTAGTGGCCCGTACGTTTCCTAAAATTGTGGTGCGTTAACGGCCACGACTTTAGGAAGTCCTGCAGTGGTTTAACAGCCATGGAAACCTGGGAGGAGTGTTACAGGTCTTCTGAAGGCTTCTGCTCGCTGAGCCTCGCTCTTCTTTGAGTGAAGAAGAGAAGAGAAGAGAAGAGAAGAGAAGAGAAGAGAAGAGAAGAGAAGAGAGATGGAGCCTCCCCGAGCTTGCTAGTGGTGTCTGCTCTTATCAGCACCCCTAGCAATTACTTGGGTTGTTTCTTCAAAAAAAAAAAAA